CTCCCTAAGGCGATGGGTTAAATGCAGACAGTTAATTTCTCCATTGTGAGATCAATCAAGTTCTATTATAATTTCTATTTCAGTTTTACAGAAAAACTCCTTTTCATGAAAACAGCGTCATAGATCTAGTTCATGACTCAGCATTAAAGCTGGAAAGGATACTGACATGGTTCGTAAAGAGAATTCATAAATGACTAAAGTCTGTGTAAAACAAATAGCTATCTAGTATCTCATTGTTGCACCACTAACCTAACTGTATAATGAAATACAATCAGACAGATTATATGTAATATGGAAACAAAAAGCACCATTAGTTTTAGTATTACCTGAAGAGCATGAAAACAGTAGCTGGCATTAAGAAGATCTCATTACAGGCGATAAACTTCAGGATGTTCTGCTGGTTGGCTGTTAGTCGGTCGAGGAGGTTTCTGATGAACATTAGGCTGCCTGGTCCCATTGACTGTTGTTACAGAGAAAAAAAAAGAAGAAGTCAATTACTGATGACAACACTGTGCTAAAAATGCTTTTTATTGGGGAACAGAAATAAACTAAAATAAAACCAAGCACATTTCTATTTATTACGTTTATATATGGTTAGAAATAGTGTCTCCAGGCGACAGCTGCTTTATCAGACAGATAATTAAAACTGTCTGCTTCTAATGACCTTTTTTAGACCTTCTAGTATAAACGACGTATACTCACATCAAGAACTTTCTTTGTGTAGGTGGTTGCATGAAGCAAAGAAAATAGGAAAACTGGGAAAATGCTCACTGAACACGAATGTTAAGGACCAAAGAAAAGCTCTTCAGATTAAATAGCAATGCTATGTTGAAAGGATTTTGAGAAAAAAACATGGCTGCATTAAAACAATGTGTGACCAACTAAATATAGTCATATGATATGTTAACACAGTTTGTTCTGCTGCTGCTGCTGCTGCTGCAAAAAAAAAAAAAAAAAAAAAAAAAAAAAGTAAAATTGTTTCTTAAACCAGCACCTTTAGATAATTTGCTAATTTAAGTCTGTTGCATTTAAATCAAAGGATACTTGTGATGGGATAAGAGTTGACCAGGATGAGCGAGTACAGCAGGTAATGACAGCTGTCCTCCTGCAGAGCTTGGGCCAAAAAAGCTCTGCTCAGCTGAAAGCGTGGGAGTCTCTGGTGTAGCCGAAGTGCACTGGTGAGGGCATTTGCTAACAAGGCTCTCTGATAGAAGTTTGCTGCTGCATGAGGTCTGAAAACACAAAAGAAACAATGTTAAGTCAAAGTTTATTAATGCTGGATTGGCCCTTAAACTGTTGAACTGTATAGAGGTAAAATGTAAACTCACCCTAGTATTGGCAGAATAAACATTACGGAGCAGTAGACCGTGAAGAGACGTGAAAGCCACATTGCAGTCTCCAGCTTGTTGCTCATTAAAAATTGCTGTTGGTAATAAACAAATGAAGGATTTTTAAATAAACATGTATGCATACCAAGGAATGAATAAGGTGTTATATGTGAAACATTAAAGTTTTCCATATTGTAGGTGAGAGAACCTAAAAGAGACAAAAAAAAAAAATAAAAAATATTACCTAATCCAAGAGTAGTTTATTTTTCCAGCAACATCTTTACTGCTTTCAAAGTAATGTAAAAATGACTAATCTCAAGCTTTATTTTTTGCAGCTTGATGTAACTGATGTTAATCAAAAGGATTAAATGTACATTAAAATAAAGCCAGTAGACACGTAACACAAGATTTATTTAATTATTACTACATTGGGGATGTTACACTTTATTTGCTGGAGTCCGAGTTAAGCCACTTGGCTAACATCTTCTTCAAGTTCAACAAAACAACCGAGTAATTTGTTTACCAAAGGTTAGATAATATTATATTTTATTTTATACCACAATGACGCTGCTTTTGTTTTCAGTGAATATACAATTTTCTGACCCTAAGGACTATTTAAAGTTAAAGTCATCAAAATCCATTGTTCATTAAAAAGTTTTACGGCAATATTAAAAATTAACTATTAAGTCGGTTGTGAGAATTGCCGATGTTGGTAACACTTTTTCAGATTTTAATGTAAACAGAGAATTGATTTTAAACTTAAATGCCTCATAGCCTGGCATCTAACGCATACGCTTCTTATGAAATCATTTTTAAATTAATTTTTAATATTTAACATTTCATTTCCCCTTTTTTAAGAGTAAAATGTGATGTCTGTGTATACATGATGATATTGATTTAACCTTAGCAACATCTGTAGGTTGCTATGGTTCCTTAGCCATAGCAACACCTACTGACTATCTGCAGGCTGAGTTCCTGATTGCTGGAATCTTCCCTTTTGGTATAATTAGAGACGGGAGTGGTGATTGCACCCTTCCATGATTGACATCAATACAGAAGGAGAATCAAAATTTAGCTTTGTGAAGATCAGGGTTTGGTGGGATTTTCTTAGATTTAGACAAACTTTGTCATTTCCTTCTGTACAGCTCTCAAGACATTTCCATTTTCTCAAAGTGCAGCAGTGATAACAGCTTTTAGGGTTTGAACAAGAGATTGACACAAAAAGAGATGGACTCCACTCTCACATGCCGGATGTTCTGGCTGGTTTTAACTGCCGCCCAATAACAACACACTTTGAACATGAAAAAGACGGAAATTTGGTGGAGTCTCCATTAAAACAAAGCAAAAATCCCAGATATTCTTTACATATCCATGGATTTTAAATCAACCTTTTATAAATCCTCAATAATCTTCTGGAATGATGCAATCGTTTGGGTCTTTCAACACAAATTTTTTTTTTTTTTTTTTTTTTTATGTATATCGAGAGACCTTAAAATAACCAAGGATTTTGCTAATTATGTTAAAATGCACTTAATTTCAAAATGCATGTGGTTGATTAATAACTAGAACTTAATTTAAAGCACTTTCAACTTAATTTTCTTTCACATACCAGGGGGCAAATTAAATTTTCTCAATGCTCTTTCAAAATTATCCAATTGTTTTGCCATGAACAGTTTTTGATTGCAGTATCAGACCTATTCAAACCAGCCTAAGTCAATCTGTAAGATTTTAAACTGAGATTAGGACTAACCAAGCAACTTACCACAGGCCCAAGCTGGGGAGGAGGGGTTCCTTGGTTATTATCAGCCATCTTTCACTTAGAAGTCGCTCTGTTAAAAATTAAATAAATAAAACATTAACAGCCAGAAAGCCCTTGGGAATCAATCACTGAAAATGGTTCAGCAAAAGAACCAAAGCGTCCCATAAATTATAATTCTTCCTCTGAGTTAATCTCTTAAAATGACCAGAATCTTCGATTTTGCTTTCCTTAAATTGTCAATGTTCATCAAAAATGGCCACTTTCATTGTAAACTGTGCCTCACACCAGGAAAGTATAATATTATAAGATTAATCACATGTAACGGTGAACATAGATGTTTTAGAAGTGTACTGAAAATGGAAGCTGGTTTTGACACCATCACAAAGACTAACCATTGATAATTACATCTTATTTGTCCGTAGAACAAGCTAATGAGGAGTTATCGAGCTAACTGGCGAGCCTGGCCATTAATAACAAGAATAATGGTAGAAATATGCAAACAAAATAATAATAACACTTAAATATTTCTAGTTTTAAATTCTCAAAAACGTCAAAAGGCAATTTAGCCCGTAATAGCAGCACACGGTGGTCTAGAATATTCTGTTCCCATCCTAGCTAACGTTAGCCACTTAGCACCTTCTTACCACCTGCAGTCCCGTTACTCTCACTATTCTAGGCGGCTGTTCACACACATCACGAGAGAGCTTAACAAAAATATTTGTGATCTTACATGTAAATATAATAAAGGGCGTCACAGCGTCGAATATCCCCGTGTCATGCAGCTCACCGGGTCACTACAGTATGAAGGAAATGGTCAGCTGACCTTCTGAGAGGATAGATCACCTCTCGCGATAGTTCAGGGAAAGTTCCAGGACCAAGCAGAACACACGCCCTCTAGTGGTGGAATTTTTAGGCGTGGACTAAATTGTCAACCCGATCAGATATAACTCACAAGAGAAACACACTTGATTAATTTTGTTAAAATATAAATAAGAATGTTATATCAGAGCATTAAAAAAGTATCTTACTATAGAAACTGGTAAAACAGAAGCCTATAGCTCTACTTCAGCAATGTCCATCAGGGATTAGAATTTAATTACACTTTTTATTTTTTCAGTAACTAATCTCACAAATAAGCAATGTAATGCTTCTTATCAAACCCCTTGGTCATTAAAAAATAAGGAGATCATCTTCTGCTGTAGGTCCCTTCAATAAACAAGTTGTTGAAAATGTATTTCACACTATATAATAATTAACTTTATTAACATTTTTAGTAATATATATATATTTTAAATTTAAGCAGCGGTGACCTTGTTTTGTTTCTGGTCACATTGTTTCGGTATTTGCTATTATTTTTATAGCAATATATTGTGATATTTTTTGTAAGATATTTTGGCATTACAATCTATCATAATATTAATGATCACATGTAAGTGTTCCTTGTAAAAAGAAACAGTTCTGCAATGTCAAATGAAATATTGTTTTTTTTAAGAGCATTGCATTTGCTCTGAGGACTATTGCAAAGAAAAACCTGCATGACGTTTGCGAACTCAAGATTGCGCATGCGCCAACACCCCCACCCTAATTTCAGCTCTACGATTACTCCACTATCTTCCCAAAATAAATAATGAAGATATTATACGTTTATAATTTACAACAAACGATACTACATAGTATATTTAAATTCCATGAATGTTATTTCGTGTAAAATTCGTTCTATTGTTTTCATTGTGTCGCTGTTCAAATAAAGACCACCAGGGGGCGCAGTTGGCCAAGATATGCTCCTACAGAAACTCGGCCCGTGGTCGTTCAGGAAAATTATTTTAGCTTTAAGTGCACTTATTTGCTCGAAACATGTTTAAAATCTTACATCTGACCGATTCCGAGAGGCATATGTCCGACGATTATTGGCAGCAGTGTCGCTGGATGATGTGTTTGCTGCAGATGCCATTTGAAAATATAGGCAGTGTAAGCACTGTAGAATCTAATTATTTCTTTGCAAAACCTAATTAGGCATTAAAAAAGGTTAACGCCAGCGCCTGAAACGTTTTTGTTTAATAATCCCATTACTGCCGGCTCATCATGTATAAAATGGTGCAGGAGGACACAAAGTTTCCACTTGTTAAAGGGAATCTCTGAGAAATAGTCGCAGGTTTTTGACACTATCTCCGATTGGGGAAATTAGGGGTTGTAATTAAACAGCGGAGACTCAGCTCAGCGCAGCGCACAGAGTAAGTAAAGCCTCGGCGCCCGGCCTGCTTTGCATGCATTTTTTGTTCAATTGATACTTCTGTTTGCCTGCTGCTGCAAAAAAGGGTTCCCCCTTAAAAATATAATATACTGTAGTGCAATAGATCTCGGAGACGATCATATAGGTGTTGGGTTTTTTTTAGAGCGTCCGCTCCTTTCAGACTGGTAACAGTCACTAGAGAGCTCAAGGTGAGAATTTAAATTAGACTTTTTCCTCTCCGAGTTTTAATTTGATGCAGCTCCATAGGGAAAACTCAAAGAATATGCCGCAAACTGAATAACCTTATGGATGTTTACGACACTAGAATCAGCAGGTGAAAAAAAAAAAAAACAACAACAAAAAAACATAGCGTATACCATAAATATTCCCTGATTTTTTAAGATTTCCAATTACTTCATTAATTATTTCCATTACATTCCAAAAATGTGGAGCCGATTCTATTATATATATATATGTTTTTTTTTTTTTACTTTTTTTTAAAGGCTGCATTTAAGAAGAAATGAAATTGTCTAGAGAGCTGTTCCAAACGAAATTTCTTTTTGTTGTACAATTGTGTAAACAAAATGACAAATAAATCTGTTCTCATAAATGATGGTTAATGTTACATAATCCCCGGACTAACTCATTTTTAATTGCATGACTTTAATCTAAGTGAGCTATCTAAACCGGGCAACTATTATAAATTATTGGTTGCGTTTATAGTGTAAGATTTTCCTGTTTTATAATTCATAAAAAAAAAAAAAACGCAGATTAAAACACATGCATTTATTGCCTTATTACTTGTAGGGTATTTGTAGGTAAAATTTGAAGAAAAAAAAAACTCTGCATGTAAGTTCTTGAAGTATTTTATTCACAAATTTAGATTATAGCCACGGTTTATATGGCTTTACAATATAACGAAATAATTTAATGTATTTAAGGGAGAGGAAAAATAAAAAAAGGGCCTTGTTCAACATGGGTGAAAATTACGTAGAATTAATAATGCTCGATACTCTTTGATTAAACCTTTAAAAATGTAAAATGATTCATAGTTTTTAGTATAACTCTGTAACAGTCTATGAACAAATTGATAAAACAAATTGCAAAAAATCTAATTTTTCTTTCTTTCACCTCGTTTTATTCATTTTCATGATAAGGTGGAGAGAGACTGGTGGCACACTGGATAAATGCCTTATAAACAATGTCTTTATCTCAGCATCATGGCTAAAAACAAACAGGGTGTGGAAGGAGGTGGAAATGGGAACAAACTAGTGCGTTCGATGGGGATGAAGGGAAGGACACGGTGAATTTTCCCCGAAAGGCTGGTCGTCAACCGCTTTTGCAGTTCTTTTTTTTTTCTTTTTCTTTTTGTTGCACCATCAAAGCCGTGTTTCTGTGCTCATTTATACCGTGGTAAAATAGAGGAGAAAGGCGCGCTTTGATCTGCACGAATTGGTTTAGCGTTACTTTAACCATCACAATTCAAATCTAAAAGATGAGAAACAAAAATGATCCACATTCAATAATCGTTTTCATAATTTCTAGACTGTAACACATAGATTTGGAGTAATAATAATAAGAATTATCCTTCTTATAATAATAATAATAATAATAATAATAATAATAATAATAATAATAATTATATATATATATATATATATATATATATATATATATATATATATATATATATATATATATATATATATATATATATATATATATATATATATATATATATATATATATTATTATTATTATTAATTATTATTATTATTATTATTGACATATGTTTCGTTGTAGTTCCACAACTGAATAGATTAATGATAAATAAAAAAAGAAAAAAAGAAAAAGGTCCCCCAGTCTACGGTGCGGGAAAAATCTGAACTATCGTAAATGACGCACCAGAATTTGCGCACTTATAAAGGGCGCAGAACCCTCTCTACCTTTGCCGCACAGAAAACATCTTCATGGAGATGGCTTCAGTTGTGTCCCTGAAGTCCTTTTTTTCTTGTCTGAGGCAGTGTTGTATTATTATTTTTATTTTATTGTAGTTTTATCCGAAACACCTGAACCATTTCTTTAATATATATATATATATATATATATATATATATATATATATATATATATATATATATATATATATATATATATATATATATATATATATATATATATATATATATATATATATATATATATATATATATATAAAAACGATAAAAAGTATTTCAAGAATGGTGATACAATAAAATACAATTTTTAAAAAGTATATTTCTATTGCGGTATGATATAAATTGAAGCAACAATAGTGATGCAATGAAATAAAATTGAAAAGAAAAAAAATATTTCTTAGTGTAGGCCTACTCTAGATAATGTAGAAGGGATATGTCCGCTGATGTTGGTTTTCTTTTGATAACAGCTCATTGCTTAGTGATTAATCAGACGATATCTGATGGCCTCCCCGAACTTCTGCGCCGAGTGACACACAGAGAAAGGGGGCTCCGCCTAAAAGCTGTGTTTTTTCCCTTTTGCACACTAAAGCTATGTTTGTTTGTGACTTCAATGGGGCCCCATAATGGAACTGATGGCATCAGGATTGTCACCACAAATGGTCTGGGCGTTTTGCGGGGCTGTTTGACAGAGCCTATTATGTCATTGGTCACGTCCCTCCACTCCTTGCTTGCTAGGGTCTGAATGGGAGTGAATTAATCATATGGTTTGAGAGGGATCAGCTAACTTAATGCACTTTGTGTCGAGGTCTACAGTGATCCGAGACCCTAAATATCTTTGTCTGTACCTGCAGACATGGTTCTGAAGGGACAGCTCCAAATAAAGACCATACAAAGATTCAGTCAGTAAATACCATACATATACATTTCTTTATATATATGTGTATGTATATATATACATATACATACATATATATATATATATATATATATATATATATATATATATATATATATATATATATATATATATATATATATATATATATATATAGTATGTTTCAAGCCCTTTTGCAATAACTGAAATAAAATTTTAAATGTTCTGTTTTTAATGGTGCTTAATTCAGTTTAAAACACATTTGTTATATTTAATCTACAACACATTTAAATCAAAATTAGTACTTAATTTAAATTACATCAATAAATATCCACCAAAGTTGCTGATTTAATTTTATAATACATGCTTTTATGTTGTTTATGAACTGTTTCATCTGTATGTTTTGTACACTTGAAATGAAAAGTATCAGATTATACAGGCTGTCTCCTTTGTTAAACCGAATATTACCTGTTTAGCTGAAATATGATTTTGGATGCTGCAGAAATTAAAAAAAGAAAAACACATAACGTTGAATTTGGATTATTTCTGCTAAAAAAACATTTTTTTCACTGAGGTGTGTGATGTTACAGCAGTTTTTTCAAATGACCCCCTAGAGTTACCAGTCTCCAAATGGACAACATATAAAGATTTTAAAATAATCCATATCAGCTTGATCAATTATACAGTTACATAAGTAGCCTATATCTTAAACTTATAATACTGCCAGGATTGGTTTGCCAGGATGATAACGTTATTGCTTTATCAACCGCAATCTAAATGTGAATTAATCAAAGATCTCTGTGTTGGAGCACCTATATGCCTGAGCATTGTTTAGCTATAATGGATGGCTTTAAATTTTGACGTTATTATTTCCCGTCATTTCTGGAAACAAATTGAACATTTATTGCATATATATTAAAAATTATACAGTCGTCGGGAGAGGCTGATGTCTCTTTTATTGAGGCGCACCGAGAGGTGAGGTCTCACCGGATCAATTTCCCTGTCTTGTTACTCCCGCAAGAGGATGTTTGGAAAATGCCTGCACCGCTAAATTGATTCAGAAACGAATTCATAACTTGAGGCGTTTAAGCATTTCCGCAGCGCCCAGTTTTTAATCCTCACCTTCTTTTATTTCAGGTTCTGATAGCTTCGAGCATCCAAAGTTTTTGCAGCACCCTGCTGTTTATTCTCACTTCTACGGCCGTTTGTTTGTGTTTGCCTATTTTTCATTCTTAGTTTAAAAAAAATGCATTTAATACACTGGGTTTTGGGTGGCTTCACAAACATAGCCATTAAGGAGTCACAATGCTTTTATTGTGCACTTGATCTGAAAATAGAGGCCAGTCTGACTGCGGGAACCAGACGAACCTATGGAAAAGGCCTTGTCTTTGTCTGCCTGTACCGAGATGAATGGCCCGTGTCAACCAGATGATTAGTTTGCACTATTAAATTGTCAAAAAGGAAGGATTTTCCCCTAATAATGCCTTTTGGTGAAGAATTATGGAATTCAGAGTTGTTTGCAACTGCTGGGGGACTTGCAGGGCTTCGTGGGGACGAGGGCGAAGGTCAGCCAGAGTTCTCAGAGCTGCGGCCAGTGTGGCGCAGCAGTCAGAGGGGATGTGCAGACAAATGCGGGTCTATTTGCTGCACCATGGGAAGATTAATTTCCACATTGTCCGAGACGAACGAGATCAATGTGACGACAGTGATTCAGGACTCTGCGTACGTGCAGCCATTACACAAATTGTGCAAAATTTGTGCGCACAAAGTTACTGCACACCTTAGAGCACCTAAAGAGCATCCAAAAGGGAGAATGCAATCCGTTGGTACTACCTCTAATTCTAACTGTTTTAGCTTATTTGCCGACTTTTCTATTTTACTGCAGTGAAAATTTGCTCCTAGTTGGTCATCGATTATGACATATTTTTTTGTCTCAATCTCTAATCTCTCACTGGAGTCAGCTGACACAAAGGTGGTCAGAATGATACATAGTTTGGATATTAAAATAGGACCAAATTAAACAAGATTTATGTTTACAACTTATGACCCAAAACTATTTTATTGAAGTTTCTATAGGTAGGGGCATAAAGCATGGTTTGTTTGTGGAAGTTGCAAGGAATAATGTGGCAATGTGTTGAGAAGAGATTGACTTGGAGCTACATCACAGAC